AGGTCTCAAGCAGCTGATGCGGGTCGAAGTCTTAAGTAAGCTAATTTGCCGAGTAGACCTTGGGCATTTGTGTACATGCATGAGAGCTTCTCGGAACCCAAGAGTGTGTTAGATTGGATGGATGAAGCAAGTGAGTTTAAGCCGAACAATAAAGGGTCGGCGACTAATCGTTCTGTGGATGAGTTGCAGACTCTCGAGACGAATTTGGTATGTAGTCAAGTATCCAATGTCCCGGATCCCGGTGTTTGCTCGTTCTCTGCTGTGTCCCTCCAGATATTATGGTTACTGTCGAAACCGTCCCCGAGTCGGGTCCTGCAGTTGGCGTTTTCACTAAGAGTTGTGCCTCTACTAAGTTGTCATTAGAAGATGCTGGTGTTCCCGTTGCTTCCAGACGAATTTCTGTTGGCAATCTGCAACGGAATTTAGTCCAGTTCTCTGGTAGGGTTTGTGCCGTTAGTTCTGATTGTAACACCCGTTTCAACAGCCTGGAACCGCACCACTTATAGTTCGGTGATAAGGAGATGCTTGTCAACGAGGTGATATTTTCGAGAAAAACAGCCTCCCGGATGTAGTGCCATTGCGCGCGGTCGTGTATCTGAGCATCGTCGGAAGAGGAATCTGTAAGCTCAGAAACATCGTGAGCAATCACTGTTTTCTTCTCTGGACTTTTTCTGTACCTCTCTTTGTTAGCGGGATCCGCTGAACGTTCTTTCCACGGGATTTCGGGTAGTATGCGCACTCCACATGAGTCGTTGCAGAGACGATTCGCAGACAGCAGAACAGCCTCAGTCTTGTCCGCCGAGTTTAGTGTTACCCGAAGTAACCGGGGTTTGCCGTAATGCAACGCGTTTGGATGACGCGAGATTCTTTTTAATGTCATGGGATAAGTTTGGACACCGATCGACGTACAGATGGAACCCCACTGATTTCGATCGTCCGTCAACCTACCCTTAATTGTATTGGATTTGGATTCGGGGACATTTGTGCACACAAGGTTTAGGGCACCATGGTTGCGCCTGGTGGCTACTGGTTTTGGATTTGGAGCCTTAGTATCCGGTGTTTTTGGTGAATCTGTAAACGGCACTGATGGGTGCCATCCGTGCTGTGACACTTTTGTTTTCTCTAGTCCGGGCACAAAGGTTATCGGTGCTCTTTCCGGTGTTTGCTTGGCGGCAACCGATGCGCACGTTGCCGGGTTGTTTCCTATTGCTGGTTGATTGTAGCTTACGGTCTTGTGTATAGTGAACAGACTACTAGGTGCAGCACACTGTACAGAAGTTGAGGCAGGCGCGTTGCAGGCAATGTTTTTACTTATAGGAGGGGGAGAGAATGGAGTTGGTGCTGCTGGAGGCTGATTCGTTGGGGTTAGGTTGGGACGTCTGGCTCGCTTCTTCGGCCTGACTAGGGAATTCGTGGGGTGTTATTTTCACTCACAAGTGCAGGTCCGTTTCCTCCCATGGGTGTAACTCGGACGATCACCAGTTGCTCGACCGCGTCGGTTAATCTTTCACACCTCTTCAGTAGCACAGCTAGACAGCTGACAACTGCGATAGAATTGCATACTTCGCAGAGCCAAAACGCCTCTGCCGTGTTAGTGTACCCTGCCCCCGTCCCAAAGCAGGTAGTGTGATAGGATTTCAAACACATGCTACACACCAGACCATTTGTTACCATTTTAGCACATGATTCGCATTTGCTCTTCATACGAGAGATGTTCACAGTAGGCGTGATGTTTTAAGGGGTAGCAAGAGGACAGAGATACTGACGCACCGTGTTTGACTTCGCTTCACTTTTCGTTGCGTGGCTATCGGCGCTGGTTTGAGGTCAGGGGGTCAGGCTTGGATGGAATACTGATACCTCGTTCGCAACTTGATTTAACCAAGGTATGTCCATTACTTTAGCTAGATCTTATTCAGAATCCAGTGAACGAGCGGTCAAGTGAAGTTCCTGTGTAATTGTTGGTAGGTTTGCTTTTTAAGATGACGTCGTGTCTGGTTTTACAAGGCCTCCGTAACACTTAATGGAAGTCCAGACGGACGGCTTTGGTGACTGTTGCACCACCGATCTGACATTCTGTTGTTGTTTGTTCGGAGTAAAACGGTGGTTTTGGTTTTCTGGGGCTGTATCCTCTATACTCTGGTGAGGGAGGTAGCCTTTTGAGTGATCGCACAACAACGTTACACGAGGAAAGTGTTTCGCGAATGGACCGCCGCAGATCCAACTAGTGATTTTCGATCTGTAGATTCTCTTTGGAAGGAAATTCTGGCACGCTATGGATAAAGATTATGCAGAGGCGATTATGCTTGTTTCGTTCTACTGAAATGTTTCTTCTCGATTGTCGCGTGCTCCAAGTGACATCAAGGTAGATGCGCAACCCATAGGATCTATGTTATAGCGTATTTGTAGATAAAAACGCTTTCTACGTCAATGGCGGATTCTAAAGTCACTCTAATAAGTCTGGGTTCGCCATGGTGTACAGAGTTCGGGTGACGAGTAACGTACTAGATTTGTGGTTTTGTCTCTGGCGCTCACAATAACACAAAATGAGTTCCACTGGTCTTTGTCGTCAGAAAAGTTTCCCCGCGGTGTGATGGAGATAGATTTGGGGAAATGTGAGCAAGCAGAGCAGTCAGAGCGCTATTAATGGATACATTTTTCGTTGGGCTGCAAACTTGGATGATTGTTGATTCAGATTTCGTGCCAAGTTATGAGTGTCCACGGTTTGTCTCTTTATTTGCGTTACCGGTGCGTGCAACAGAGTAAACCGTAAAGGTGGATTTTCGGGTAACCTTTACAGCGATCGTTGCATATGTGACTAAGGTCTCCGGGGACTGGCTCGACCATTGACCTCTGAGCTGCAGATGCAGAAGGGTGGTGCCCAGGTTGCCCCATCTTATTAAGGATAGGCGTTGTTAAGACCGGCGGAACTTGATCGATCGCACGTTGCTGGTAGTGTCTGACCTTCGTTGTCATGATTACGGCTTGACTATCAGAGTCACGACATATTTTCGCTGACATTCCGCCAAAGTTGGAGTAAATAACATGGATGAGATCCTTGCCGAACGTCGTCCAAGTTATACAAGTTTTGCACTATTCCTATGCTTAGATTCTAATAGGCTTTTCTGGCACACACCCATCCATTCGCTGTTCGGCTTCTGCTGCTAACCGGTCGCATTCCTGGACTAAGACAAGCAAAAATTTGGCCAATGGGATGGCAGGACACACAATGCAAAACCAAAGGACGTCTGGGGACTTGTTCTGCTCTCGCACATGAGGTTGGGGTCTAGTAGCATACGTTGAAGGAAACCAGTTGGAGCGGTGTAGGCATGCCAAGCCTTATTTGATTAGTTGATTAATTTCTCAATACCCGCAAGTACCATTCGCCCGGAAACCTTCTGGACTCGCATCCATATGATGTTCGCTAGTCAGCATTGTATAGTTGGCTGACCTGATATTCTGCTTTTTTCATACTGGTCGGGTGTGCACACCAGTCAGACAAGCGATGTGGTTAGGAAGGTCACGTGAGCGCACACCAGCTGTCGGTGTGGATGCGTGGGTCGTGTGATAGGTTATGCAGACGCGCCAATTGACAAGCTCATCATGGATGTTGCGAGTCATCGATCGATCCCGACCCATTGTTGGGTGGACAACAAGGCGCTGTAAAATACGAGACAGCCACTGCAAATGGTATTGGAGAAGCGGGATTTCCAGTTAGCGTGATCGTCTCAACAAGCAAGTTTAACTGATGTCATTTACTTAAGCTAGACAATTTAGTTCTGTGGCAGAATGCAGGGTTTAAGGACTCGTTTTGACTGCTTGTTATGGACTGGAATGCGTCGTTTGAAGTCCAAACAAACTCGTCTTCTGGTGAGTGCTAATGAAGCAGTGAAAAATTCCTACTTTGATGCACTGTAGAAGATAAAGTGGTGTTGGCCGCCACATTGTTTTAAGTCCTAGCATGTGGAGTAATTTAGACATATGACTTAATTGTGGATTGAAATCGCTGCAATAACACACCATAAGTGGCTGTGCCATTCTGGGGACAGATGAGGTTATGTTCCATCATATGAAGGGTCATCTCTGGCATGCATAATTCATACGTTTCATCGGCCGGCGTCATCAGCATGCTCAACCCCTATTTCATTTAGGTGTAAGAAGCGATTCGATCCCATCAAAGAACATATAAACACCTAATTTCGAAGCACCTGTCGACTGATGTCCGCATGTTGAACGGCCAACAACTGAGGCATGACTGAAACTAAATGAATCACCATAGCACACTATAGTAGTTTTGAGTTATCAACGTTTGTCGTGATTGCCACTCATAATGTGAATCCGGGGTTATTAAGTGGGCATTGCGTCGATCAACAAAAGAACAACACCTACGTCCGACGATTGAAGGGTAAATGGCGCGGGGGAACTTTTAGGGACCCGTAATATGATCCGACGCGTCTGAATCGAAAATAATAAAGAGTGGAAAAAACATGGGCACTACTAACATTTAGTTTGATTGAACTTGTGTTCTGACGTCATACGAACAGCTACAGAGAGTGCACATTTCCTTTAAACGCTAGCGTCTGCGTATTTCGCTGTGCACGTTAGGCCTTACGTGTTCTTCCCAACACAGAATAATTACTTGCCGGTACAGTCAAGCGGAAAAAGAAACTTCCTACTTCAAAGGTGGACTTGGTGAATCCGCTGGTGCTTGGGTTGCTACAAGCAACCTCTAATGAGACCTCGGTTCACTTAAGGTGGACGTCGGTCATTCCGATCTTAAAGACCGTAAGTAAAGAAAACAGTTTTATAGCATTGCTCATCCCAACACTGACACCCCAAGACCGCGGTTTCGTCCTGGTTAGGACTCATCAGTTGGAGATAGCCTGAGTTGGGCTGGAACTCAGAGCCTAGTGGCTCATGGTTCACACCATGAGCACTATGCCACTTCTTACTTCAACGGAAGCATAATTTCCATATTTCATGAGTAGGAGCTTAAAACTTACCACGAGAAGGGGGGCAAACGGAGTACTTTTCGTTGTTTATAACCAATTGAAATTCAGATGAAAGCAAGTCGGCAACGCTGTTGGATTTGGCAATTCGCACTCCGTCTGAAAAGTAAAAACAATTGAAAATTAACCACAATGCTGCAGAAATGTTAAGGTAAAGTGATCTAGGTTGCAATATTGCTGACCTGATGCTGAAAACGCCACACTCGCAGAGTGGCTCAGATGTGACGGTGGTGTGCTGCAGAGTATAAAGATGCATGAACAACCATTGTGTCTTTGTGACATTTTGCAATTCAGGAACGGATGCGTCTGGCTGTTTCAGACCACACTCATATGCACTGGATACAAGGCCCAAGAATCAGATTTCAACTTTACAAATGTTAAGCACATAGCAACTCTATTGAATGACCTGTAGAACAAAAGGAACAGCAGAGTGCGGATGAGCGCAAGCACCGCGTTCGGCAGTATTCACTGCACTGTCAATCTGCGTGAGTACTATGAGCTGCACAGTAGGTCGTCTATATCCAACACTGACTTGTTTGGACTGACATAAATGGAGTAACCATGAAATGGTGAGGGTAACACCCATCTACAAGGCAACCATAGTTTCTCGTTTACCCAACTCACATGTTGGCGAGGCCGACCAAAGGGCGGAATTGACAAGTAGAATAAGAAAAGTTAAATGAGTGGTAGAAAAGGGAAAAGGGAAAGATTTTGCGACGCCTGCAACAACACCTACTGTGACAGTCCGGTGCGTTTATCGAGGTTACTAACAACTGAGGAACAGCTATTGTGTGTGTTTCTAAGAAAGCAGATTCCATCGAGTTCAAATGATACTAATTTTTCTTCCGTTTGAGCAGAAAATAATCACTAACTATGTGTGAATGCGCTTATTTGGGTGGCTATATGTATGCCCCGGTTTAGGAACACTATATAGGGATGTGTACTGTTGTGAGCAAACCTAACCAGGATTTTGTCGTCTTGTAGTAATCCTTACTTTTCAACTACGGTAGATTACAGATGTAAAACTCAGACCGGTGGGATAATGGGAGTAAAATATGGCTTTATCGAGAATAGCTGACCCATACGTTGGCTCATTCTGAAACTATAAAACCGCAACAAGTCACCAGTTTCAAATGTGGTCCATTGTACGCACAGCTCCCTAACAGATTTGGAGCGGTTTCAGTGACTGCGATTGAAGTTAAACGCTTTGTGATTTGACTCACTGGACCAAAAGAGCGTGTTTGCATATGGTGCAATTCTGATGAATCCTTCGAAACTGCTGACCCCAACTACATGAGGTGACCTAGCATTCATCATGGTACTGGAACTCTTGGCACCATACACTTATGGGTTGAATCTTGATCAAGTCAAACTACGTAGGTCTCGCCGGTAAGTCATGACCGCCCAGAAGAGGTTAAAGTTAAGGCTTCAAGTTTCGTATGGCACATGGAGGCGGACCAAAATAACGCCTCTCCCATTCGCGTGTCACATGCTGGAACTGAGCAAGTAGTTTAGATTAATGTGATAACCAGCTCATTGCCGAATCATCTAGTCTTCATTCACCACCTCAATCCGTCGGTAGGAGACAGTTGATCACAATGTTATTTTTCATAAGTATACAAAACCTAGGAAAAATGAAGACCATTGCCAGTCAGTGATGTGTATGTCATTCAACTTCCAGGTAAATCTATCTTACTGGATGACTGAGTGCAAATATTCTAAACCTGGTCCCGATAGACTGTTACGAGAAGCGATAAAGTGTGGCAGGGACGTACTGTTCCCATGAAGACTAGTTTGAGGTAGGCAACCTACCGATTGGTGGACTGCCACGGTTGTGACCGTATTCGCAAAAGACAAAAACCGAAGCTTGCGGCCACAAGGAAATCTGCCGACCGACTTTTACATGTGAGGCAGCGTGGTTACACCGAATCTACTCTCATTACTGTGCACTTTCATGTCATATGTTGGGTGGGGTTGTTAAATCCAAAAACCCATTGCTGAACACCTATCAAAAATAGCTCATTTCTTCAGTAGTTATGTTGGAGCTTTTGTATGCTGTTATTAGCAGTTCGAATGGGTGAAATGCTTTCACTTGTCCTGTTCGTGTTTTGAGACCATTTCATTGTCATTTCCTGCATGGTTGATTGTCAGATTAAGAATGTAGCTGGAGGGAAACAGAACATAGTTTACTAATGCTGTTGCCTTCATGCGGCGTCGCAGTGACTCATGCCATAGGTATACTTACAGCGCGGTCAAACTGGGATAGTTCGACTAATTTAGCTATAAAAAGAACGAACTGGAGTTGCGTGCACCGGCTTTCGTGTATCCGATTCAACATGCAGGTTCAATGCCTAAGTTAAGGCCGCAGATAGTCGCACAACTTCATGGCAGCACAAGACCACATTTGCCAGTTGACAGTGACAATAACTAGAGATCAGATGAACATATCATGTTTGATCCATGGATTACTTGACTGATCGTGGCTAATCACAAAGACTTTATGAAAATGGAAGACCAACGCTCCATCTGGCTGGCCGAACAACATCCCCGTGGTGCGAGCCTGGTGGTTCGGGTTTACCCTGTTCCAGCAAAAAGTTCGGCGGCAGTGTTTCAGGACGTGGTGGGTTTTCGCTTAGCAAGCGTTCTCCCTATAAAAAGCCACAAAATCCGTTTAAAAATATTGTGACGTGGCGGTTGTGACTCTCCATTAAATAAAGTCGTTGCCCCTTGCTTCATAATGGCGAAGCATTGTATGCCAACAACGTAATGTTCATCCGTTCAATCACTACGAATCCACGGAGGTCAAACATCCCTTTAGCATTGGCGACACGTTCAGGCACAAGCAAGCCAGCAAAACCATTACAAAGCGAAGCAACACAGCTACACATGCCTACACGCACACCTAAATACATTCATGTATCAATATATCGCACTCCTATGACAATCCCATTGTACATTCCCTGATCACCTGTTGCATCCTTACCATGATCATGCCTGTACAGGCGTGCCACGCTTAGCCGCGAATAAAAGCTTATTTATTTAATATGATATGCTATTTAGTATGATAAGCTAAAAAGGCCAAGTGTGGGGTATACGTGTTGTCACAGCTCAACTGCCTGTGAAGAATTCAGACGCTGTGTACATCATCAGCCAGTGACGTTGTCATAGGTGCCCCGTTCACGCTCAACCTACGCTTTAAACTGATCGATACATAGCACACTACGCTCTAAGCGATTTGTGGCCATGTGACTTCAAGGTCGGAAACGGCTGAGGACGCATCATTCGGCCATAGGTTGACAAAAGGTACCCATTGGACCTTACGCATTTACCTTAGATGACAGCGCAGTGGACGGCGGTCAGCTAGCGTAACCTACAAAAAGTGCGTGATTAGGGAATATTTGAGGAAACGTAAAAAACAAGCCCGTCGCCCAAACTTTGCTAATCAATACTTCCGAAAGACATCAACCACCGACTAAGTGAAGTGGAACGGTTCGCCTATTAGTTTCTTTGTGATTCGGCTTGCTAGATACAGCTGTTCTAAGGGTTGAGAGCACAGTTTTCCAGCCATGTAAACAAGTAGCAAGCACAAAACTACTTCTTTAGGAGCGGACATAATGGCTTCAAAGCGCAAGCGTTCTATCAACAAGGAAATCCGGAAACAATGTCTCCTCAACACTGTCATCCTTCGAAATACGCGTTACAAACGTTCGGCCCATAAAGAGTGGTCACACTTAAGGATACACTCGATGCTAATGCAAAGCAGAGCACACAGAAGTAAGCCATAAATCAAGGCTAACAAGAAAGTTGTAGTTCTGAGGACTTGAATGACACCAGTGGGACACCATTAGTTGTTCGGAAAATCAATTACATGCCAATATGCTAGGGAGACCACCTGTCTATGGCGACAAGCCAAAACGTCCCCAAAGTTTCTCCTATGAGTAATGCCCTCATGCATGAACCTGTCCATGGTGACCACTTGTCCAAGGCGAGCACTTTGGGTAGCTCCCTTGAGTGGTCGCCTGAGACAGGTTTAACTTTTGGTTGTCTGGTTGCTCGCCGAGCTCAGCGAACAATCAGACAACCAACTGAGCTACCAACCTTTGCTTCCATATCGCAGGTTTGACTTTACCTGCGCCGCCGCACCAATGCCTGTGGAATAGAAAATGAGAGTGAGAACCGTATGATTAAAGCCCGAAGTGCTTTCGGCAATTTTCGCCATCCTAGCACCGGCGCGATATCACTGTCTGATGGGAGAATTGAGTGCAATGCAGCCATCCATTCAACCTTACTGTACGGTTGTAAAGCCTGGTGCATCAAATCGACAGACGAAAAGATGCCTGTTATTTTTGCCCACCGGTGCCATTTCAGAATTGCTCATATATGGTTGCAGCACTGCGTCAGTATTGAGCATGCTCGGCGTCTTTTTAAATTACAAGAAGGGCAACTGAACTACTCAGCACCATTATTTCACATGCCAAGCTCTGGTGGCTAAGCTTTGTGTTACGCACCAAAACACCGAATCCCGTGACGTACGTCGTTTGAGCGACTGGGGTCTGGATGGAGGCCAACCGATGACTTGGTCAGGAAGAAGGAAGGCCCTCACTTCTAAGTTGGCATCAGATGAAGTCGGAGAGATGGTGAACGTGGTAGGCTGAATGTACTTGCTGACATGACAGGAAGCCGACCTCACTCGTGTCTGTTGTGAGATTCGTATTCCCACCTCATCCCGTTTATCTTTCCTGCGCAATCACGATCTCGCTGTCAATACAGTATATAGAACAAATCACAATAGCGCTTTGTTCCGTTTTTTCTTCTTTTTCTGTTGTGACCTAACTGAATTGTATTACAGCACAATAGTTGGGTGTTTCCTAGCCCTAGATGATGCACGAAATGATGATGAATGATGGTGGGAATGGATTGACTTTGTACCTCGTGGTTATGACGAGATTAAATAGACAAGCATTAGGTTGGCTGCAGTATAGGGAGTTGTTGACAAGTGGATTTGATTTTGTTGGTTCTTCTGTTCCTTCAGTTTGAAGCCCACGCTGTCCACCGCCTGTTTCGCCCCGGAACTCCAGCGTCATGGCGCGCAGCCATCC